TATACTACCAGACTGTGTTCCACAGATTATTACTACCTTAAAATTTTTATATGGAAGACCAGAGCAAATTATAGAAACACATATTACTAATATAAGACGACTACCAGCCCCAAAGATGGAAAAACTAGAGACAATTGTAGAATTTGCATTATCTATCAAAAATTTATGTTTCTTTACAGGCAGCAAAATTACACGAATATTTAAACAATCCAACACTTTTACATGAATTATTAGAAAAATTACCGTCGCAAATTGAGATTAATTGGGCTAGTCACAGAAGTACATCATCACAATTTAACGGGCTTATTGAATTCGCTGAATGGATATATAATTTATCTATAAATATATGCTCGACTTTACCCAATCTAACACCACATGAACAAAAACCATATTATAGGAATAGGAATGATCACAAACCATTTAGCAGGTATGAACGAATGAACCTTCATAATTTAAAAAATGAAAATTTTAGGTGTCAGATTTGTAATGGTGATTGCAAAAATGCATCTGCATGCATGTTGTTTAAAAAAAGCAAATTAAATGAAAAATGGGAAATTGTTAGGAAATTTAATTTATGTAAACTATGTCTTAAAAGACATAAATTTCCGTGTAAGTATCCAGTGAAGTGTGACAGAGAAAACTGCAATAATAAACACCATCCTCTTTTACACGATGAGGCACCAAGACGTAATGAGAATGTGAACCAGATCACTGAATTTGCCATGACTCAAATACATAATCAAGTACATTTTCGAATAATTTCTGTTATTTTGCAGAATGGAGAAAAAATAGTAAAAACACATACATTTTTGGACGAGGGATCGTCACATTACTTAGTAAACATATAGCCGAAAAATTAGATCTGTATGGAGAACAAGAATTGCTTTGCCTCAAATGGACTGGCGACCAGAAACGAACGGAAAATTCTGAAAAAGTGATACTCTCCATGAGTGGTGATTATAATGGAGCCAAACAATACGATTTTAGATCTGTCAGAACAGTAGATTCATTAAATTTGCCAGAACAAAGTCTTGATGGAAGACATCTTAAAGAAAAATATTCTTATTTGAAAAAATTGCCGTTTAAATCATATAATAAGGAAAGTCCACAAATTTTAATTGGCCTAGACAACTGGGATCTTGCACTACCTCTTAAAGTCAAAGAGGGTCATAAAGGAGAGCCTATTGCTGCAAAATGCAGGTTAGGATGGTCTGTTTTTGCATTAGAGAATACAGAAATGAAGGAAGATTATAACTTTCATGTTTGTTTATGCAATAAAAAAGAAACAATACACAACCAAGAACCTTTTGATGCAATAAAATTTCATTTTAGTATAGAAAGTTTAGGAGTACAAAATCTAACTGCAATCTCTAGAGAAATAGAAAGAGCACGCCACCTACAAGAATCTACTCTAGTTCAAAAAGGAACCCAGTATCAGATTCGATTACTTTCCAAATACGATAATTTAAAATTACCAGATAGTCAATTTATGGCTTTACAAAGACTGGAATGTATTGAAAGGCGAATTAAAGCTAATCCAGAAGGTGTTAAAATGAACGAGCAGTTGAAAGATTTTCTACAAAAAAAGTATGTTATCAAATTAACTGAAGAAGAACTGTCTAAAAAATACGAAAGGATTTGGTTTCTACCAATTTTCCCAGTCCTCAATCCAGATAAACCAGATAAACTAAAAATTGTTTGGGATGCAGCAACTAAAACTCAAAATATTTCACTCAATTCTGTACTTCTGAAGAGAGTTGATCAACTAGCATCTTTATTTGGAGTGCTTCTGCGTTTTCGAGAGGGAAAAGTTGGTTTTTCAGCTGACATAAAAGAAATGTTCCTACAAGTTGGCATTATAGAAGAAGATAAACATTCACAAAAAGTCCTTTGGCGTAATGGCAACCCTGAAGATCCTTTAGAAACATATGTTATGAATGTAATGACATTTGGTGCTACATGTTCTCCCAGCAATGCTCAGTTTGTAAAAAATGATAATGCGGCAAAATATTTGACCGAATATCCAAGAGCTGTAAATTGCATTATAAATAATCATTATGTTGATGATCTTTTAGACTCCTACCACTGAAGATGAAGCAATCGAAATAGCAAAACAAGTTACTTTAATTCATGCAAAAGCTAATTTTAATATTAGAAATTGGTGTTCTAACTCTCAAAAATTGAATAATACAATGAATAATACTTCCAAAATAGATAAAATTGAAATGAATTTAAAAGCCAAAGAAGATAGTAATAAAGAAAAAGTACTAAGAATGTGGTGGAATTTAAAATCCGATTCATTCATATTTTCTCTAAGTTTCAACAAAGGCAATAAAGAAGTATTAGATGAAAAGAAAAAAAAAGAAATTTTGAGAATACTGATGTCAATAACTCCAAATCACTTTTTGCTGGGCTCTTCAAGTGGTGACAAACCGATTGGAAAATTAAATGATAATGCGAAAATACTCAAATATAATTACCTCTATAGGGAACAGTTTGCCAAAAAATGTTGGAAGCGCTTTATTAAAGATCACAATTATTACTAAGAAACAAGTGGTTCACCCAAGTTAACCCAGTCAAAGAAGGGGATATTGTTATTATCTGCGATAAGAATTTTCCAAGATGCAATTGGCCCAAAGGAAGAATTGTTGAAGTAAGACGAGGCATTGATGGTCAAGTTAGAAGGGCAAAGGTCCAAACCAAAGACCAGTTGTGAAATTAGCAGTAATTCCAGTAGAAGAAAGAAAAAAATATATCAAGCACTTGAAAAAAAAAAATTATGCAAGGGGAAGTGTTACTTTAATATTGAATTCTTATTATTTATTGTATTTTGTATTTTATTTGTCCAGCAATTCAAAAATAATATGCTGTACAGGGGGGAGTGTTAAAAATAATGTTATAAGATATTGTTTTGTAAACATAATGAAAAATGAATCAATCAAATTCATAAAATATAAATCAAATAGGTACCTCTGGTTAGGTATGGTAGTGACCAGGTATCGGTAGTTATTTACAAAAGAACATTTGAATCACAGATTAACCCGTCCTAAAGATAGGAAACTCAGGCCTTTTTCCCTGTCCTTGTCTTACTCATGCAGCGAGTTGTATGACTGCCACAGCATGGTGGCGCTAGTGTGCACTACGGTGTGTCCAGTATTGTGGCAGTAGTCACGTGGTTCCCGCCTTTTTTCAAATAATTTGTCTAATCAATTTGATTTTATTAATAAACCCTATATTTTTTGAAAATAAAACAACATTTCAGTACTATCTCCTTCTTTAACAGAACAGCCTTTAACAGAACAACAGAAAACCGTATTGAAAAAAAAAAAACACTAAAAAGTTGATAGGTCTTGTGCACAAATGAGTCCTTAAGTAAGTGAATGTCAAAAATTGCAAATAAATACCATCACTAAAACCATTTCTACAATGTTTACATGTAACATAAGGTCTTTTTTATTAAAAACATATTAAGAAGTTAAAGTTTTACCAAAAATTGATAGAAAATCAAATAAAGAACACTAACACACATCAAACGGCTGACTAATGGAAAATATAATGACAAATTGTGATGACAAATTACCTACATTCATTCACAGATGACATTTGCTTGTGGCTTTGCTATACTAGCGCCGCATAGGCAGTCATGAAACTCACATACGTGTTATTTTTTAGACAGCTCCGAACGAACATTTTACATGGAAGTTTCCTATCTTTAGGACGGGTTAATCTGTGATTTGAATATTTAAAAAAATATATATTTGCAAGCTTCCAAGAAAGAAAGGGAACCAAAATTGGATTAAAGGCAAACCGTAAGATAAATAACTTATTAAAACATGATCTATTTGATTTATTTTTTAGGAATTTGAGTGATTCTGTAATTACCTACCATAAATAGAAGAATTGAAATAAAGGAATTCAGAACACTTCAAGTAGTTTACCATTTAAAAATATCAATTTTTATTTGTTCCCTACAACTAATATATGAACCTATTCTGACGTTGAAATAGGTGCAAATAACGTTGGAAGACGGAAAAATGTTACTTGGGGGTATATAGCTTCACAATCTTCCCATAATTCTTGACCAAATGTTTGCTCTTTGATCTGGGCCCATCTCGCACAGCCTGGACCTTATTTGAATTTGTCTCTTCCTTTTGAAGAAACGACATGTCCAAGAAACTTCAATTTTTGCAGAAGATATAGGTTGGCACTTCGAATCCTGACAAAGCTCATTCTTTCACAAAATCCATGGCTTCCTTCTTTTTTTGCTGCATGTACTAAATTATTCCTGTTCCTCCTGAAATTTCCATTGGTACGAAAGATGAGTTTGAGGTCTGGTCTATCTCTTATTTCAAGCTCTAGGGGGTCGCGTATTTGGGCGGTCATCCACCAGGATCTCATGCAGTGTTGTGCAAAATTTTCCAATTTGGGAAAACCGTAATTTTGGGAAAGTCGCACTCCGTATGATTTTTAAAAATATATTTTTATAATATCGTACAGGTACCTTCTTCTTTCCTAGTACCTATAAATTTTTTTTTAAATAATTTAAAACATTTGTAAAATCTCTTCCGGTAAGCACATGTATCGTAATCGTATTCAAAACATTTTCGTGTAATTTGGATAAACTTTTATGCAGATTTATATTTTAAAAAATTGACCATAAAACCAACTGTGTATCGAATCGATATGGGTATAAAGTGGTATAAATAAGAGGTTCGTAAACGCTCTAAATCGACTAGTTAGGCATCATCAAAATGAGTAACTCAATTTTTAATATGCCAGCTTTTCCTGTGATATTCTTACCCTAAAATGAGCTTTATGTATTTTACCATCAGTGCATTAGTTCATAACATATTAATTACCAATCTTTGATGTCAGACATTTCTCTTTGGTAAATTTCTTATCCATTATGACCAACGAATAAGTAATGCACCAAACTTGCAAAATCAGCAATTATATCAGAAAAGTAAATTGAAAAGCACAATACATGAATTTTTACTTACCATGTACCGGAACGGCTATCGAGCAGCAAACTTTTGGTCCTTGGTATGAACCACAACCACTGATAAAATGATTTCTTGTCATTTCTTTAGAATGGGACTCTAAACAAGGCAAACAATGAGTTTGACAGCTTGTAAATTGTATGGGTATATTTGGCACATTGGCTAATTTATTCCGATCTCTTTCGAAAACTATATTTGGCTGAAAACTAACTTGTTGGGGAAGAAAAAACTCTTCTCTCTTAATACTGCTTTCAGCGTTTTGCTTATTTGAAAAAAAATTCCTGTCACTAAGTATATCTTCAATCCGGAACGACATGCCTATAGGCACTAACGACTACAAACATTAATCCTAAATAGGAAATTTGAGCGTTAACGGATGTGTATTATAAACGTTTCATATCAGTCTTATCTAATTAATCTGTTTGGAAAAGACTATAAACGTCAAATAATTTTGAAATGCGCTTAAAGGATTGGGATTGTTGTTTTTTAATATGCTTGAATAAAGCCAATAAAGGAATATTGATTGATAATAATTATTATACTCTGAGTGTATTTTGAAGAAATTAGGTATATAGGCTTCTACCGGGAACAATTACCTTTTTATTTTGATTATTATTAAGATGAAGTAGAAAGAGTAAAAAAAAAGAATAAACATCAATAGATCTTCTACCTACCTGTCTCCTGTCTTCATGGAATTAATTAATTAAAACCGGAAAGATAATATTGAAATCAAATGGAAATGGAATATAACAACAAATGAAAATACAACAAACAGCCTGCATTTCTTGATTAAGTACCTTTTAAAAGATGGTTTGATTGATTGATGATTTTCATTGAAAATCTTTATCTGTTTTTAATATATAAAACTAATCATTCAAAACTATTATCAGATAGAGCGTGTCTTCTTGGTGCATCTATTATAAAAGTATAGCAAATTAAAGTGATCGATGGTAGCGGGGTATTTTATTTCATAAATAGCTAATTTTTTACTGCAAGGATAATCTTTTAGCATTAGCAAATCTGTTTCTGGGTCCTGCAAAAATTGCAATTTTTGTTATTCCAAAAGCCTGTCTGTTTTGTTTGAAACATTTTCTATACATCCGATTTATCGGCAATCAATTTAAATTAGGTTGCCACAAAAATAGGTGCATTAAGATACTTTGAAAATATCTAAATATACGTTCAAACAGTATTTATTTTGGTAGTATGTATATGTATCTAACATACTAAGTAGGTAACTCAATACTTCCAGCAAGTACCTAAATATCGCAAAGTATCTTTTTTCCAAGTTTTCACTCGCACAGCTCTGACTTCGGGCGTGCCATAACACTGTAGGTACTGGTCGGGTTTCCACAAGAAAATTGGAAGTGATTTTTAGTCATTGCGAAAACAGATGAGCGTCAATCCATCACCATATATAATATATTCCTTTTCATTCCTGATAGTTCATTACAATGTTTATCACAATATATGAAGAGTTTCTTCCAAATCACAACCAGAATAGCAAAAAACTTACCAGTTTTCAGTGTGGTTCATTTATTTGGTACCTACCTGGTATTTCACTTATTCCGAGAACAAATACACAGTTGGTGACTGATCTGCTTAAATTCAGTGATTACCCATTTGCAATCTGCACATAAATAAAACCCTCAAAATTATACATTGAAAAACTGCTCAGCAGAGTAATATTATGAACTCCACCAACTGAATTGCAAATTATTTAAGATATTTTTATACAAATTCCTCAGAAGTTTTTAGACTTAAAAAAGATGGTGTAATGACCCGGGGAAAATAGACCCGTAATTTTTCAGGACTTAAATTATAAAGACAGTAAATTTAAATGTAATCAAATACTGTAAATTGGACAAATAATCTTATGTAAATTAAATCTCCAATATTCAATATTAAAAGAAAAGTTTTAATTTTCTTAATTTAGCATTAACACAAATTGTTTGAAGCATCTAAAATACGTTCAAATTTTAATAGTTAGTCACCAAGCGTGTGTCATCACATTGAACTCATAAATCAAATCCCTAAAAATATTAAAATCAAGGCAGAAGTAATTAAATTGGATCCCCAAATGACAGAATTACATAAAGACATTATTTACGACCGACACGAGTTAGGCATTTTTTGATTTGTTTGTCCTCACATTCTTATACCTAATCTGTTGACCCCGATTATCCAGGAAATTGCGACATAGGTATTTGGTTTTAAACAAATAACCATATTTCCTAGAAAAGACGAACGGTTGATTAATGGACATGATCCGAAATTTTTTGGGGGTCGAAAAATATAAAAACAGCGGCTTTAGAAGTTAACAGTCAATCTTCAGATCAGTTCAGCCTAGAGTATTGAGTCTTCAGTCTACAGTAATCGAGCAGTCGCGATCAATTAGTCCAGATTCGAAATCAAGTCCGGATAAAATTCGCCAGAGTTTCTTTTGTTTTGTTTGCCTCGGGAAAATGCGCTAAATCGAATCTTTGGAAAAGTAACGGAAAATAGTGAAAGGAAGAACATTTAAATTCATTCAACATTATGTGCGAGCTCTAAATAATCAAAAGAAAAATTAGAATAATTAGGTGACTTTAAGGGCGAAATTTTAATGTATGTACTCTAGTGACATGTTTATTTGACCTCATCAATGTTGAAATGACTATGAAGTAAGTGAATTGAAAATGAGACTTCGCAAATATGCTGTAAAAAAATACTTGAGTGAACTTTTGTATATTTCTTTTTGTTTTGTTGCGGAAATAACCCACAACAAGTTTAAATTTTGTTATTTCTAATTTAATATAATTTTCCTCTCTCTTATTTATCATAAAAATAATATTCTAAAAATAGATGCCTGCAGAGGCAAAAACCCCCAAAACCCCCGTTAGTGCACGCGATTTATAGTAAAATACTACTCCCAGTGTCTCAAGGCCTGACATGGTCTATATTATTGATTATAATTCATGTAATTAACCCCTAATTGTTGCAAGTCACTTCGGACGAGCAAAATTCTATCCCTCGCCTGTTTTTTGGTTATCTCTCTCACTCTCGTCGGGATCCAACGCACCTGTATATTCTTGTGTTTTCTTTTCATCTCAATTCTCAGTGGAAAATTCCTTAGCTGTCAGTGCGAATAGTGATAAATGGATAAATAATCGCCTTATGAATTTATCTGTATGAGCTGGATTAAGCAAGTAAGACCGTTACAATTTCTCTAACAGTCGAACAATAAGTTAATAAATGCTGATTAGTGATACGCTTTAAATGCACTATAAATTGAAGTGTTATCTAACCTTTAATGCAGAAATTTGGTTTTCACACTGGTGAAATTAACATTTGTACATTTGTATATAGAAACTGAGCATATATTGTTCATCGATTTTTAACTGACACTTGCGGTATGAGGAGCGAGAGGGTGTTTCATATGGCAAAAACAGGTGTGACGTCAGGTAACCATTGGCGTTCTAATGTAGGGAGCCACCAGCTCACATTCCGTCCGAGTATCAGATTAAAATCGACGAACAATACAGGGTGTCCCACGGTGGATGACGTATTAGACGTTTATGGAGAACTAAAAAGCGGATCATTTTGAAAATTTGGCAACCGGGGTAAACAGCCATGATCTACACACACAAAATATTTTTGTTTATGCGGTGTTGCCGCTTCTACTCTAAACCAATGGCAACAACGCTATTTTAAATGGAATACCCTGTATGTGATTACATATTTTGATTCTACGTAAAATTCTGAGCAGATTTCATGTGATATACCCTATACCTAAGTTCAACTGTTTTGGAATTATTGACAGTTGAAAATTGACTTTTTGCAACTTTGACAGGCTGTAAAACCTGAACGGTTAATTTAAGAGAAAAATCTGTTGGAATATAAAAAAATTAATTCGATATTCTTTGTTATTTTGATTAAGTTTGTTTACGTTAGTATGTTTACATAAAAAGCAAAAGTGTTTATATAAAAGCAAGAATGTTTACATTAAAAGAAAAAAAACTGTTTTTTCTAAAAAGCTTTTATGAATATATTTTGACTATTTTGAGGGTTGAAAAATTATAAAGTTTAGTTAGTTATGGTTAGGCCTTCCGAGTGCATTGCAGTTTTGTGCAGAACGAAATATAAAATTTCTAATAAAAAGCCAAATCTACTGAGTATTATTCTATCCCATAACCAACAAAATCAATTTCACATTCGTATCTTACATTTTCATGAACTATCATTTGACACCAACTTTGAATTTACCCGGAGATTAAATTTAATTGGAATTTTTAATCATGGATTAAATTTGAAGTTGGTATCAAATGATAGTTTATAAAAATCTAAGATAGGAATGTAAAATCGGTTTTTCTCTAAAATTAACCGTTCAGGTTTTACAGCCTGTCAAAGTTGCAAAAAGTCGATTTTCAACTGTCAATAATTCCAAAACAGTTGAACTTAGGTATAGGGTATATCACATGAAATCTGCTCAGAATTTTACGTAAAATCCAAATATGTAATCAGATACAGGGTGTTCCATTTAAAATAGCGCTGTTGCCACTGGTTTAGGGTAGAAGCGGCAACACCGCATAAACAAAAATATTTTTTAAGTGTAGATTATGGTCGTTTATCCGGGTTGCCAAATTTTCAAAATGAACCGCTTTTTAGTTCTCCATAAACGTCTAATACGCCATCCACCGTGGGACACCCTGTATGTAAAGACTTTTCTTGCACAATGTTTACAGACTTCAGCAGAAAATTGCTCAAATTGTTAACTCTCAATAAATAAAAGAACTTTCAAGGATCAATAAACATTTTGTGATTGCAGTGAACTGAGCCTGGATTCCGAACCCACGATTCGATAGTATCGTCTAGCTATTTTATATGCACGATACTATTGAATCGTGAGTTCGGAATCCGGGCCCTGATTGAAGTTGACGAATTATTTATTTTGTGCTCTCGTGCATTTAATTTGTTAATTTGTGTTCTCGTTCATTGAACATTCAACTATAAATGATATTATTATCATTATCAGATTTCCCTACTTTTTATAAATCAAGATACTTTAGATTAGTATAATATTTGTAGTTCGACTGGACGTCCATCATATACTGCAAACACTACTAATTTCCAGTTTTTATAAAGGTGATTGACAACACTTCTATATAACTAGAGGTATTAGGTATTATAGTTATATAAATGAGGTTACGGTAATCTTTATAAAAATTGCTTATAAATACTTTAGTAACGGGTACTAAAAGTTTTATAAAATGGTGATGGAAATAGTTACCTTATTATACAGAGTGAGTTTTAAGTATGGAACGTCTCAATTATCTCAAAATCGGCTTGCACGATTTTTATGAATTTTGGTGTGAACGAGTATTACAATATGGCCAATAATATGGTAGTATTTACATGGTTGTCAGATTTTTCGTTTTTCAGGAAATATCTGAAACTTTGTTTTTCCAAACCGTTACTAGTATTCTTAAACTTAGATCGTTCTTAAGAAATGAATAGACCTATTATTTAGATTTTAATTTTATCTTCCTATTCTCCTCGTACCTGAATTAATATAGAGTAGGTATTATTATTTGTTCTTTTTGAATTTCAAATTTGGATTTACATATTTAAACGTGTAGCTTATGAGTATAAGAAATGTAGCATTACTTAGATTAAGTTTATTATTGTGCAGAACCTACTGTTATAAGAATGTATATTCTTTTTAAACAATAAAGAATTGATTGATTGAAATGGATCACCCTGTATAATATGACATTTCTGGGTTCTGTGGAAAATTCTAGACATATTTCATGTGCAATGTCATATACCTATCTTCAACTGTTTCCGAATGATTGACAGTTGAAAATTGACTTTTTCACAACTTTGACAGACTGTAAAATCTCAGCGGTCGATTTTACAGCAAAACCGATCATACATTCTTTTCTTAGTTTTTCATAAACTATCATTCGACACCAACTTTGAATTTAATCCATGATTAAAAAGTTCGGTTAAATTTAATCTCTGGTTAAATTCATAGTTGGTATCAAATGATAACTTATGAAAAGCTACAGACAAGAATATCCAATAGGTTTCGCTGTGAAATTCGCCGTTTAGATTTCACAGCCTGGTAAAGTTACAAAAAAGTCAATTTTCAACTGTCAATATTTCCGAAACAGTTGAAGATAGGTATATGATACTGTATATGAAATATGTCTAGAATTTTCCGCAGAATCCAGAAATGTCATAATATACAGGGTGATCCATTTGAAAAAACAAAGTTTCAGATATTTCCTGAAAAACGAGAGATCTGAAAACCATGCAAATACTGCCATATTATCGGCCATATTGCAATACTCGTTCACACCAAAATTCATAAAAATCGTGCAAGCCGTTTTCGAGAAAATTGAGACGTTCCATACTTGAAACTCACTCTGTACATATACCTGTAAGTTGTAGTAAACTTATAAATACTTTATAAAATTATGTTACCATAGATTGCAGCTTATAAAACTTGGAAACCTACTTATATACCTTTGTTACTATTATGTACCCATATAACTTGGCGTTACTATAAGTTGCGAAAAATGTTCATTGGGAGAGTACCTACTTGGCGTGGATGCTATAATGGGCGGATGGGTAAATCAAAAACGTACATTCCAAAGACACATTTATTTATCAATTTATATCCATAAAACTCAAAATTTCAACATAAAACTTTTTTATTTTTATAAAAATAGAGTTAGAATTACTAAAATATTCGACGATTTTTGATCTTAATTTTTTCTAGGGCGCCTAATTTCAAATATTTCAATAAAACATTCTTACAACTTGTACAAGTTGAGAAACCTCAGATATTTTTTACCCGTCTCTGTTTGTAAGATGTATAATTTTATTATGAAAAATTCAAATCGAAATCAAGTCTCATTACATTTTGTGTGTTTGTAATGCTACCTAGTACTTTCAGTTTCATTACCTTGCAACAATCTAAATATTTTTCTTATTGGAAAATGCACCCTAGAAGTAAAATAATACAATTTGTTTTGAAAATGAAGCACAAATCAGTTTCGTTTTTAAAATAAAATTTCCGTCCAAATTCCTAAAAACTAAACATAATTGTCGATATAGCTAAATATGACTTACATTATATACAATGTGTACATTTTAAAATATTTATGACACAAAATACCAAAGAGCACTTAAGTATATCGCATGGTAAAAACATTCGTATAATAATAATTTTATTATCCTTTGGCGCATCTCACATATCAATATGTAGTGTGATAAAGATGACAGGATATTTTTATTAATGCACATTCATACAATGTTACATAATATTGAAAATGTATGTGGCTAGTATTGTAATATGTTTAAAACAAATCTTTTATATTCAATTTTTGTTTGTTCAGCGTCGAAACACTGTTTTTCAAGCTATATTAAACAATCATACTTAGTGCCAATCCCCCATTTTAAACTTTGGAGACTGTGGCTCTTTTAAGACAAAATCATAAATTTGTTCGCCTATGAATATTGTCTAGATGCTTTCTATTATTTTTGAAGAAGCATTGTTTGGATCTAAAATTATTGTATGTTTTCAAATAATCGCCCTTCAGTTTAAGTTTAGATTGCTGATAGGCTTCAACCCCTAAAACTAGAATATGATCATATCAGAATATGTTTGCGTAACTCAAAAATTTATTTAAATTTTAATGATATTCCAGTCTCACGCATCTAAATTCCACACAATATTGTATTTATGTCCTCAAAAAATAGTATTTCCTAAATTTTAATTTTTTTTTATTTCTATAAACAAAGTAGAGCCATTGCTAGGACCTCCACTATGCACCTCAATAATATTCAGATAATTTACTTTCACTTAACGATGTTTTAAAAAAATAACTAAGGACCCTGCATATACCAAATATACCTGGTTATACAATATGAACATTATGTTACAGGTTTTTAATTTTCATTCAAGTAGGTAAGTATTATTATTTTTTTTTTTTGGTTCAACTTGATATTATATTTACATTGTATAGATGTATCTTAGCTCAGTTTCGGTATTTGTATATTAGTATTTCCACAATTTGTTTGGTTATATTATTTCATATTACGGAACATCAAACATTCATTTATATGATTTATATAAAACATTAATATGGTAACATATATTGAATTAATATCACAAAATTTGCTAAAGCATTTCACGGACGTTTCAGGCAGCTTAAATTTATTGAACTACATGTTACATTATTCTCTGTTAGATGTGAAACTAGTTTTTCTCTGTTGGTTTTTGAATAAATTCTTTGGTCATCTAAAAATGAGCAATTACTACAAACTAGAACAAATAAAAATACATTTAAAAATTAAACTTAAAATTGAATAAAAATTAGGCCAATATCAGTTCCAAACTGCATAAAACGTCCTAGGTCTTGATACAATTACATTTGTTTTTGTGATTCCATACATAGGTACAAAAAACAACACTCGAATATCTAATTAATTAGGATTCCAGTGTCGTGCGGGGTTTTAAAAGGGTATTTACACTACAGGAATTGCTTAGTGGTACTTGAGTAGGTGCATTTTAGCAGGACGTCCTTTCGCTTGGCTTAGCTTTTATTAGATTGTGCCCTTCGGAGCTGTCCGAATCGCTACTTTCGCAGTCACTGACCGAAACCACGTTGTAGTTACAAGTCACTTTTGGTTTTTTAATTGAAACTCGACTATAGTTGCCTCTGTTGACTTGGGCACTAGATCTCTAGAAAAGTTAACAAATATAAGTATAATTATTTATTTATTATTTAGATAAATTTTCTTACCTGTAATACTAAAAATATTACTATGAAAAGGATTATTATGCAAAGGCAAGCTATAATTGCCAAGCCTGTAATGAAATTGAAAGGGTTCACGAACTGTAGACTGGACACAGGCTGAGCTGATAAAAGTAGTGCTTCTACATTTATTTTTCTCTTGTCTTCTTGTAACTTGCATTCTACGGAAAATATACGTAATTAAGTTAGATTGTAAGTAATTCTATGAAAAGAAAACTACCTGGGCAGTTGGCGCACGAATAGTGACATTTTTGGCATCCATACTCAGTTTTATAATAATTAGCAGGACAATCAGGCCGGCATTCTCCGTTTAACAGTAGCCAAGAGTCAGGACAGTTTACGCACTGATCTGGACCAGGACCACTGCATGTTTTACAGCTCATGTAGCATCTCATACACAAACCCTTATCGCTGTAGTATCCTTGGGCACATGTCGTGTGACATTCTCCACTTTGCAACTGAAATGATAAAATTTGCATAAGCTTTTTATACTATTCAGTTGAAAATTATTAAAGCATGATTCTGTAATGACTCGGGAAACAATAAACCCTTAATTTACAAGGACTTAAAATACAAAACAGTAAATTTAAATGTAATCAAATAATGTAAATTGAATCAAATTATCCAATGTAAATTAAATCTCCGATATTAAAAGGAAAGTTCTTATTTTCTAAATTTAGCATTGACACAAATAAATTAAAATATTAAAAATACGTTCAAATTTCAATAGCCAGTCATCAAGCGTGTGTCGGCAAAATTTTCGAAAGGTATGAAAGTTTGTTGCTTGGCAATTTCGCGAATGACATTTTTACAAAATCACGAGCCACAGAACATATCCCCTCTAGAAAAATTTCTCAAATGGGAGAATCGCGACGAAGGTTATTAGTTAGGTTTTTAGTCAACGATGGCGACACTGTCAGAAGATAAAAGAAATTTGCAGGTATCTGTGGACAGTGAGCGTTAAAGTGGAAATTTAAAAAGTTCTGCTTGAAAAAAACCCTAATTTTTGTTGGTATTTTTTTTTGTATTTATTCGTTTGTATCGTTTCGTTCGTATTTGTATTTATTATTCGTATTTATTTTGCGATCTATCTATAGCTGCGTGTCGCTTGCTAACACTTCAAACTCTTTTTGCACTATGTTCGACATTGAAAACTTCCTGCCAGTCGCAGTTTTCAAGAAAATGGAGCGAAAAGAGCTGAAAAGACTCAGCAAGCTTAATGCAGTCGAACATCAGAAATTATTTAAAAATAATAAGAGTATATCAAAAAAATCGATTCGCCTTTTTGTCAAGAATGCTCGATTAGTTGGGTTTCAAGTCAACGATGACGCTGTAATTCATAACCAGTAGGTAACATTGCAGATACTTTTCTAGAGGTGGTATGTTCTGTGATCACGAGCCGTCAGGCGAGTGATTTTATCAAAAATGCCATGAGCGAAATTGCCGAAAAGCAACAAACTTGAATAAAACTTTGAGAACAATTTTGCCTACAGAATTTTTTCTCGAGTGGTATTCGTCATGACTATTTCACGTAAGATTTTTAAAATAAGTGGAATGCAAAAATATGAATAAAAACTTCAAATTAAAAATATCAGTTTGACAATGTCAAAAAATGGTCGCTGAAATACCATGTTGTTTGTATTGTCCAGAGAGGGGGTTTATTTGACATCCGTGCAAATCTTTCACATGCGACTCAGTCGGTCGAAATATGTGCGTTGAAGAATTCTAAAAATTCACGACAGGCTTATTTGAAATCTTGTGCATTTTGTAAATCCTGAATTTTTAAATTTGCACTACTCAACTTGGCAACGTGTCCTGTAAAAGATTCTAACCAATGACATCATTAGAAAATTTCATATTGACCAAACGGAACGATGCATTGAAATGTCAAATTTGAAATTGTTTAACGTAAACAACTTTTTTTGTTTCCGTGCATAAAGTTTCGTGTTTAGTTGAAGTTTTTTCGTTTTTTTTTCACATTATCTTAGTTTATTCTTTCTTTTTTCTATAAGTGTAGGCAATACCGCAGAAATGATGGAAAGTGCGGGGTCAAGTGCCAATTAGGAAAGATCCGGTTTTGTTATTTGTGATTTGTTACCAAAAAACAAAAAGAACTCTTGGTCGAATTTTTGAACGAATATCCGGCGCTTTTGTCGGAAAAATTTTCGAACTCCTTAGAAGGAATCTCGAAACATTTTTTCGAAAGTCGAAAGCTTTTTATAAATTCCCCGTCATTACCTAAGCATTGTTAATGCATGGATCTATTCTTGGATTTCTGAAGCTTTTGCGGTTATGGTTATACAATTCGGCCCTTTCTAGAGTATTTTAATTGAAAATATTTTCGAATTCCATGAGGCCAAGAATATTCTTTGTCGACTAAACTGAAATTTTTAAGAAACTTTTGCGTGCAATTTGGAAATTCACGAGCTCTAGAGGTGACGCATGTCAAATGCAATCCATAGATGCAATCTTGCATTGACGAATTTAGCGAAATGCATCGATGAAAGTTTCAAATAAGCCACGTGTGCATTTTTTTGAGTTTCACCGGTAAAAAATGCGACTTAGTCAGATGTATTTGAATTGCACGTTTCAAATAAACCCCCCGTAGCAATATTGTCAGCTGAATACCGCATTTATTGCCGGTGTAATACACTCTAGTGAAATAGTCAAAAGAATTATTTTGAAATACCTTAGTTTAGTCATTAGTGGAATTAGGGACGTTCAAATTGTAAGTACATTTAGAACAGTGACACTTTATAGTCCAAGAGCCCAGAGCCGCCAGACACAACTTATTTTCTAAAGGACAGAATATGTGGGACAACACTTGATTTTTTTTTATAGGTACTATGAACGTATGCATTCTCGTTAAGTTGGGTATGGATTATGGCAGAATAGAAGGGTTTTCGGATATTTTTCGTCGGAAAACGGATGCATGAGACTCCGGCTTAAGAGGCGGAAATCAGTTGACATAGATATCTCGCTCACTCTCAAACGCATGCATAGTACCCTTGCGCTCACACTTCCGGAAAATTTACTATTGCGTCTGGGGGGATGTTTGGCCGGTGTGATTGGTCTGGCTGAGCACACGTAGTTATGAAATAGTTTCCCCAATAACATATATGAAAATCAAGCGTTAGAAAAACAGTTGAAGTTTTTCTCAGCTTTCGCACGTGTCGGTGAATTGGCCGTCTATCCAACTTATAGACCAGTGCATAACGACCATTATTTTAAAACGATTTTCTCCCGTCTGCTATTAAGGGTGGTTATTCTTTATGCAATAAGAAGTGGAATGGCTGAAATTTCAAAGAGCCCCGCGTGTGACAATACAATGATATGCTAATTTGAAAATGTGGAGTTTTGGATTAATATTATCCCGTCTGCCACACATTGTGAAGGCAATTTAAACAAAAATGAGTAGAAGGAAGCTAAACGGCGGAAGCCCTAAAATCTGTTTTTTTTTTAAAGTTAAAAGTCAAAATGACAATAGAGAGTTATTGGAAGTGAAATAAGGTCCAGCAGTAATAATGCAAACGCTATATTGACATCTGCGCTTGCGCAGTTGCGCCGTCGAATAAGGCTAGTTTTATTGTCGTTTGTGCTAGACTTTATTGCTGCACGAATAAAGTCACGTACTAATAATATAATTTGCCCTTATTTTGACAGATTTTTGAAATTTGTCAGCAAAGCAAAGCTGTCAGTAAGTAAAGTAAGGTTAGAAATAGAATTAAGGAACAGAGCCATATCTTGACGTGTTCGTGATTGTGAACAATAACTGTTTTTACCCAGCCGCGTTTAGGTAAAGCGCTATTTAAATAAGGTAGTTGCCTTATTACTGCTAGCTTTATTTTGAAATCTCCAATAACTCTCTATTATGTTGGCAATATAATGTAAAAGTGTCAATGCTTTCAAATTTTTTATCTAGAAAAGGCTTGTGTTGCCAACATAGTTACTAAATTTTTGACTTGGGGAATTATCTTTAAAAAAAAAACGAACTTTAGGTTAGTATAAAGTGTCATATTACTAATTTCAAAATGTCGCCAAAATCGGACATGTGGATCAACGACCCCCGTCTGCCAAATTGAGCAGTATTGCAAGCCTCACTACGTTCGGCTCGCAAACCTACTGCTTCAGCACAAAAAAGTAAAGCTTCTACTCCTAATATAACAATATACTATTTAATTTTTCAAAATGTCAAAATTTTTCAAACTTGAGATCAATTATTTCCCGTCTGCCATTAATTTATATTAAATAAGTTGCTACCAAAAGCTTAAGTTTTGACTGGCAGAAATTGCAGACTGGTACAAGTCCTAAAAAACAATGAACAAAATTGCGACAAAAATTGTTTATATGATAAACGTTTTTAACCCGTCTGCCATTTGATTAAAGTGAAATGTAGTTATGACAATATGCATATTTTCAATATGGCAGAAACCGCAATAGGTTACATAAGTTGCACATATGGTTGTTAAATTGAAATTTTCTCCCGTCTGCCAACTTACAACTTAATTGAGTAGAGTTACTATCAAAACAACTGAATACCTATCAAAAGGCAAAATGACTGCTTGTGTACAAATTTTTGAAATCTCACATGTACAAGTTATAATTTTTTTTCAATGCCTATCACACATTGATGGAATGTTGCACCCACACAATTTAATCTACGTTTAACGCAACACCCGATTTTTGAGATTAATTTGTTGTGACAAACTGATGTAAAAAACCCTGTTTTGCGTTTAGACTTCGATTTTGTGTCGGTGCAATACCCCATATGTATATTAAATATGATAAATGCTATAAATATACATCTACTGGTCCCGAAGTATCAACACAAATTATCCCTCGGTATTAGTGTGAAGGTCATGAGGAAGCTGATACAAAGTTGGCATTTTTCCTGAAATAATGTGGCGGCGAATGTGACGTTGTGATTAAATGTTCCGACGCAGACATAGATATTGGTAATTTATTAGGCAACCACGGAAAAATGGATACTTCGGTTAAAGTTTGGTTGCAGTTCGGAACAGAAAATCACCAAAGATATGTTAATATAAATAAAATTTACGAGACGTTGGGAAGTAAACTTTGTGAAGCACTACCAGCATTTCATACTTTCACTGGTTGCGACTTCAACCTAACATTCTTTAGAAAAGAAAAAAGCAAACCTTTTTAAATTCTACATCGTAATGAAAGTTACCTGGATGCTTTCATAACGATCAACGATGACCAAACTGAGGAAAGCAGTTTGAAAATAGGAGAGTTTGTTTGTCAGTTATATGCCACCAACAAAAATGGGTTGAAGCATATTTGTATTATCTATTCACAATCCGATGTCCAAAGGTAAAGGTAAAATTTATCACCTTTCAGTGCTATTTGATAGGGAAAGGTGATAAATTTACCTTTACCTTTGGACTTCGGATTGTGAATAGGATATATGTTTCTGAATTCTTTATTAATAATAACG